CCTAATGTTTTGCATTTTTTATCTTAGATTATTTCTGAGTTCATCCAATGCCCATTCAAGACGTTGATCATTTTGCCCGATCTCCAAAATCTTAGGATTCAGTTTTAAGATTCAATTTTAAATCATTTTTGCAGAAATTTTTGTTGCAATTTGTGAAGAAGGTGAGAAATAAATAACCATGGGTATTACACTCAGACCATTTTCTAGAGTTGCGATATAATTTTAAACCTTTGTGTTTCTAATCGGGTTAGACACAAACTGTTCTAAATGCGCTCTGAGTAATTAACACTACTCGCTCACAAATTTGATGACATTATCTATGATGTTGAAAGCGTAATACGAATAACTATCCTGCGCACAAAATCGTTTCGCAATGAAATTCATCAAGCTGATTAATTATATTAACTCCTCTTAAAACGGAAAATTAAGCACTCAAGAGTTGATATTGACACTTTAAGATTTATATTTAAAAAATTATCGAAGAGTATTTGAAATCAAAATCCATTAAAAGGATTTCCGAACAATCAGGGCTTTGCCCTTATTTACAAGCAGTCTTGATTTTGTTAAAATTTGTTTGATTGAAGACATACAGCAATTTTATTGATATCATTGGCTTGTAGGTTTGGCATCATTTTAAACCTAATGAACCAATCAAAAAAAGTAACTTTAAAAAGGACTATTTTCTCCCAGAGAATTTGAAATTGACGTTGGAAGGCCAAAACAAAAAACTCGCCCTCCTCCTTCAGCACGCAATGTCAAGCTTAAAGTGATAAGCTTTGTATAAATGCTGCGATTTGTATAAATGTATAAATGTATTTGTATGTATATTGTATAAATAATGTATATTGTATAAATGTATTTGTATAAATGCGATTTGTATCTGTATAAATGCTTTGATAAGTGATAAGCGTGTATAAATGAAACTCATAGATCAAATAGTCTGAGTTCAATTGACGTTAACTCTACGTTAGCTCTTTGAGTTCATCAAAAAAGCTCATTAGTACGCATTAAAGTTTGACAAAACTGGCGATTTTCAAGATTTTTTTATATCGCAAATACAGCGCCAAAAATATGCAGGCTCAATAAAAATTTGGTCAAAAATTTTATTTAGATATTTGAAAATTGTCTGGAAAAAGTTAACACAATCGAGCTTAACAGTTTCATGATTTTATTCCAAAGGCAGAGCAATCATGACAGGAAAACGAATTTCAGCTGTGTTTTCCCGACTTGACAAATTTTCTAGTCATACCATTTTTTACAAACTTAGTTACCACTATGATTGCTTTATTTTTTTTTCACAAATAGAGTGCTGACTTAAGTTATCCGAAAAATCGTAGTCATTTTGGAAAAACTATCTTGCAAGTTTTTTTCGTAAGATTAGTAAGCTTATGTATAAGTCGGTTAATGTCTTGTAAACGAAAAGATGAAGTTATAATAAAAATTTGTTTGAATAAACAAGAGTTCATCTTGGTTTTTGAGAGTGCGACTAGAAAAACAAATGAAAAGAAGATCGTCAAAATTTTTTTTTCCTAAATTCGTGTAACTTGAAAAAACACAAAAAAAACTGAGATTAGTTAGGTTCTACAACCAAATAAAAGCTATACAGCCAATTTTCAAACCATTCAAACAAAATATGTATGTTTGATGCAATAATTTCTAAGAAAAACATTGTCTGAAAGAAAAGGATGAAAAAAATTCAATGCAGTAATCAAATAAAAACTTTAGGGTTTTAGTCAAAATAGTTAGCGACTACGAAAGTTATGGAGAAACATATAAAATGTTTCAACTTTCAACCCTTTTCGCTAAAGCATCGAAAACTCAGAATCAATTAAAACTACGAATAAAAAAATCATCTGAAACACAATTAAGATATTGCGCCTTTGTTACACCAAGAAAAAATACTTCATCATGTGAAAAATTTGTGGAGTAAAAACAAAAAAACTACTAAATTTTGCTATTGAGGAATATACGAGGCTGCAAATAAATAGATATCGAGACCACAAGTACTATGGCTGCAGTTGGAAAAAAATAAATTCTGGAAACCTGATTCCATTTTTGATCGCAAGTGAAGATTCGGAACTTCTTTTAACTTTTTAATTTTGTGACAACTCCACATGTATTCCACAAGACCTAAGTCACTTGTTTCTTTGTACCGTTTTAAGTGTGTTTCATCGAATGTTCTGCTTTATTGTCTTAAGTTTTTTCTGGGTTTATTCAATGCCCTATCAACATGTTGATCGTTTTGCCCGCTCTCCGCAAGTTTTTGTAGCCACCCGCACTGAAGTTTGAGAAATAGTAATCAATTATATTGGATTTTCATTGTCAGTCTCTATAAAATAACAAAAATAACCGTAAAATAACGAAAACAATTAATTATAATCGATTAAAAATGAATAATAGGGATACTATTTTTTAAGCACTAAAATCCGAAAATAATCGATTACAATCGATTATTTTCAACTTATTTTCAAAAATTTTATAAGAAGAAAGATGTTGAATTTTAATCGATTAATGGATTATAATCCATTTATTGAAATCTTTTGGTGTGCTGTTTTCGTTTTTTTATAATGATGTTAAACTTAACTTAGTTATTTTGCTCTTTTGCTAAATTTCAACTTTTCTTAATTTCAATCGCGCTAATGAAAATTGAAAAAAATCACTTATTTTTAATAATATTTTTGTTGAGTTTCATTGGCCAATTCCCCGCCTGGATAGGTAATAGTGTAGTATGGGTAAACGTGAAACGTCTGGGGTGGGGGGGGGAATGGGTTTATTGTGGGGTCGACCAAAAATTTAATCATTTTTTTCAATCAAGTCGGCCAAGTTGATTTTCGGAGCACTCCCGCAAAACTACAAAGAACGTATTTCGACCAAATTTTTAGCGCTGCATAAACACTTTTACTGGCCTGATTTTTCAAAAATTTGTCTGCGGAAAATTAGGATGCAAAATTGAGAAAGCGTCCCCAAGGAGTTGCGAAGTTCTAGCGAAGCTCTTGAGGCGTTGCGAAGCTCTTGCGAAACTTTTTGCACCTCAATTTTCAATAAAAATGAATATCGACAACCATTATTGAAAATTGAATTCGATATGAATTTGGATTCATATAGATCAATGACATTAATTCAAATTGTTGGTGACTCATTTTTGCGATTAGCACTTTTTATTTATTTTATGGGCGATTACAGTTATTTGATGGCGTAATGTTTAAATTATTGTGAACTACCAAAAATAAGTTACAAGAGCACTAAATCTAAGCATTTAGCAAATAAAATTGAATATTTGATAGAATATAAGGGATACAATATCAATCCAGCAAACATACATAGCTTATTGGTACTTTCAATTTTTACATCTAAGGTGTATAGGTTTTTAATTAGAGGTTTTTATCATCCTGAAAGAATTATATAAATTTAAACAAATTTCAAAACGGATTTATTTTTCTATCGTCCTTTTGGAACTTCCTTTCGAGCTGACAGCTTTTCTTATTTTCTCAAATTCTTTTGATTTTTGCGTTCAAGTTAAAAGCAAAAATGTACACTTAACATGCACCCATGAAACTAACTGCCAAAAATTTCAAATCGAGTTTTTCCGCCCCGTGAATTTAGTTAATCCTCATGTGTTTGGTGATCACACGTCGTTTGCATAAGGCCAGTTAATGTTTTGGTTCCAACAAGGCGTCTCTTTTTGATCTTCCGAGATTTTGAACTATTTTTTAAGCAATTTTGTGAAGCAGTTTGTGTTTTAATTCCCATCAGCACCTAATCACATTTTCGTCTTATTTAGTTGTCTACTTGTCGCCGCCTTCGATTTCCTGAAGCGTATGCCACTGGGCTATGGGTCTCCTAGGGGCGTTGATCATGTCAGTCCAGTGACGCAAGCCCGCTCCACTGGCCGTGTAGCCGACGTGAACTAAGCCGATGGCGTCGTTGCTTCCCAATTTGTCGTAATCGTACACAGTGATTCGCAGTTCAGTTTTACTGAAATAACGAAAGTTAGCTAAATAATTTTTGGATCTTATCCAGAAACATAAGCCATCGAGAGTCTTTATGGACAAAAATTCGGTATATTTAGACTTTTTCGACCAAATTTTGGTATTTTTCGACTTTCTGGGCTCGAAAAAGTGTGTTCGACTTTGCTCGACTGAATCAGGATATGCTTCAGTTTTCTCGTCCAAAAATGAGTATGTTTCGACTCTCTCGACCAAATAAAACGTCCATAAAAAGTGCTTTGACCGGCTAGGCTAAAAATTCGGCTTTCCTAGCCAAAATAAAATCGGGTCCGAACTTCCACGCGTCATCTCAGAGATGTCTAGATGATAGAAGAATGATAAATTCTACACTAAGTATCATGGTTGTATCTGGTAAGATGAAAGTGGGATCTACTTAACAATCCCCCCCCCCCTATTGTACCTACTAAAGAATCTCCCCCCTTTCTTGAAAGGGGGGAGATTATAGTTAAGTAGATCCTGAAAGTGTTATTTTGTCCCTTTGTTAAGAAATGCTTGTCTCAATTTTCAACAGTATTTTTTAAGCTAAACATTCTTCATTGCAAAACGGAAAACAAAAAAATGGAAAGCGTTCATCTCGAAAGATCATAAATGACCGTGTAACTTTTGTAAAATAATGTAGTGTCCGGTAAGATCAGATTTTGGAGGTTCGGTGTAGAAGTGGGCTATTTCTTACGGATTTTCTGTTTGTTAAAAAAACGAGATGAAGACGAATGCATATAACATTTTTATGAATACCTGCTTGCTAATGAAGTATATTATTGCGCTAATGAGACCTCAACCTGCTTCTAATTACGTACCAGCAGTGCTTATTAATCCAACTACTTTTGAAATTATTAATTCGTCTGCTAATGCGCTTGCTCATCACAATACTAGATGAAGCGTTTTGAGGAAAATTAGTTTTGAAATTTCAAAAAATTGGCTTATCATTGATTTTTAAAGAAAAATATTTATATATAGTTCCATGATAATAACAAATTTTAAGGGATTTTTTTGGTCTGTCTCTATAGAGTTCTAAAATAATCGATTATAATGAATTAATAATCGTATATGAAGCAATTAAAGTTGAAATCAATTTAATCAAATATAATTGATTATAAGGTATTATAATTTATTATAACAGAGTATTATGGATTACAATAGATTTTTATGAATTAGAGCCTGGGCTTTCAAAACCTTGCGAGTTAAAATTCGAAACTTGAACGGTGCAATCTTTAAATTGAGTTTTATTTTTGACTACATCAAAAAGTTGTACCCCCCACCATTTACCCATTACTTCAATTTACCGTAAAATTGTGTTAAAATATCACAAACGCGTGCTACCGCCCTTACACACACACACACCTATACCCCCGTGACTACAGACCTTTACGCCCTCCCCCTTAAAAATCATACGGGGGTGCGAAGTGTTTGACGTGTATGTATGTGGGGGTGAGAAAAAGGGCAGTAAGTGCTAAGGTTTGGGGTGGTGTAGGTGCGGGATGGTGAGGACAGGTGTGTGTGTGTGGGTGTGGAGGGGGTTAGGCTAGGTGGGGGTGGGGTAGGTGGCGTGGGGGTTGGTGGGGTGGGGGTAGGTGGCGGATGGAAGAAGTGGGAGTAGTTTTAGGGTGATGAAGATAAATTTGGAGGTGTTTAGCTTGGGTTTTAAAATTGAGAAAACCTGGACTTAAAGTGAGAAGGATATGCTTTCTTCAAAAATTTAAAATATATGACTACGTTTAGAAATCGAGTAGGCTGAGAAATGCCGAAAAAGTTTTGCGGAAAATTTGGAAAAAAAATTATACAGATTATAGCCCATTATAATAGGTTTTAAATGGATTATAATCCTCAAAAAATAATGGATTATAACGGATTATAATCAATTGCGTGGTAAAAAGTAATTTTAGTTGGTTATAATTGCAGCATTTTTTCATTTTTTAACACGAAAATCGACTATTATGCATGGAACCTCTTGTGATACTCCGGCAAAAACTTGCCTATATTATATGAATCTTATTAGACTATCAAAAAATGGACCCCTCGCTACCCAAAGGATACGTTTTTCTATAAGAATGCCAGCGTGTAAATTGTATGTGGGACCTGATCTGCTCGAAGGGTACTTCGAAGAGGAAGCTCTCGTTAAAGTAAGGGTTTAGTGTCCTCTTCTTGATCGTCGTCTTCTTCTTCTTCAATCTCTTCCCACTCTGCATCAGTTCTATCTTCACAAATGGGTCAGAGAGTCCCCCCACGTCCATCTTCTTCAGGTTCTTAGCCTCCAGCACATTCACCGTCAGTTTGCCCGCCTTGGGCACGAAACGAAGCGAGAAACAGAGGTCACCTGTGATCAAACATCATTGAAACTCAAGTCACTTAATGTGCTGAAAGGCAACCAACATGCGCTCAAAGATGAGCATAGTTTCTGGCTCAGCCGAATTATAAAGTTAATTTTCCAGCAGTGTTTTCTGAAATTTTTGGAAATAAAACATAATGGGATCACATTCAATCTCAATTTGAGGCTGAAAGTTGCTGAATCTTATATGTGCGTATTCATAATATTACATTTTCTGAGAGTGCCGAGAAAAATATTCTGACATCTTCTGATACGATTGAATGGACAAAAGATGGTGATCTTAATTGACTTACCGAGATATTCTTTGTCGTCATCGGGAGGACTCAACGCTTTAGTTGCCTCAAAAGTCTGGCCCAGGTCAATCGAGTTCAAATTCAACTTAATCTGGCCAATCATATCGTGCTTGGAGAACCGATCAAAATCATACACGGCCAACACCAGTGTCTGGCCTCCTATCTCCGCGAAGGGCACTTTGAACTGGAAACTCTCGTTGAAAATCGGGTTCAAAGTCTTCCTGTGAACTTTGGTCTCTTGCTTCTTCTTTTTGTCGGGCATGAGGTAGATCTTAATAAAAAAAACGAAGTTTTGAAGTTTTATTAAGGTTAAGAATGAATTTCAATTTGCTGGATGAAACATTGACATTTACAAATTATGAAACAACTAACAGTAGCCGTTTGATGTGTAAGAAGCACATAATATTATGACCACGGTAAATTATCCATTATAAAAAAGTTTTTTTTTCGAACGAATTTTTCTGACGTTTTCATAGGCACCAAAATGGATTGATTTTGTTTTCGACATAATATAAAAGACGACATGATATAAGTTCCAATATGGTTTAACCATACCATATTTTAAAAAATTAAGGGTTAGTATTTACGACCTTGAAAACAGTTTAAAAATTCCCCTGCTGAAATCAATCTGCAAAATGGAAATATTCGGACCAATTCTTTAAACATCGTGTTGAAATTCAAATCACAACGAAAAAGATTTTGAATTGATCTACTAAACAAACCCATCTGACGTTGGTTTTGGTTTATGGACTCTGATTTTTCGCGAGAAAGAAAAACAGTTTTTTAAAGAATTAAGACCTGGGGTGATCGGAACTAACGACCCTCCAAAGAGAGGTGGAGCATTAGCCATATCATTACCGTTCCAAAATTTCCTCAAATTCTCAATGAAAAACATTCGTTAGCATTATTTGATTGATGAGTATCTTGCATGGAAGAGATCGATTGTACCTTGACATAGGGATCCGAGGTTCCACTCATGTCCATGCCTACGAGGTCTGTCGCTTTGATGATGCCGATAGTCAGTTGATTAGACGTGAAATCATAATCCACAGTGTAGTTCAAACTACCCAAAAACTGTGCCTTTTCATCCACTTCTTCCTTCTCCTTCTCCACTTCCTCGACTTCATCGTCATCGTCCTCGTGTCCTAAGGGCTGCTGGCCGAAGTTCACATCACCGCCTCCTTTGCCAAGGAGTCCCTTCTTCTCCGCCTTTTTGCCCTTCTTTTTCTTCCTAAGGAACTTGCAGCAGAGGAAGTAGAGACCGAGGAGAACTGCGCCTATCACTAAGATGATTATGCCGACTGTTATGAAGTGGGGCAGGGGCACACTGTCTTCTGCTGTTTTGAGCAGTTTCTTCGACTCTGCAACACAAAAAAAGTTCAATTTAGTTTTAAACTTCCCTTTCTTGGAATTTCAATTTCAGAAATAAAAGTGGTACCCGCGATGGTAAACCGTCAAAAGGTTTTGAGAGATTGAGAATCTTTGTTTTTGATATCGAACAGTATTTCAAATAGAATTGGCGATTCGAAACCTGAAAACGAGGTGTGCTGGCATACAAGTGTTCTCTCAAACGATGCAGATTTGTTTTTGTAATTCTATACCTCTGTAACTAAATATAGCTTGGAAACAATTGATTGGATTCTATTGTTTTACATGGGAATCGAGCTGGGAGTCGAGTTCCCAGTGAAGTGAATTGTTGTAATTGGGATACTTTAGAATCAGGAATAAGTCACTTCTGCCTCATTTACAAACAACAATACTACAAGAGTTTCGAAAGTCCCCGGGTCGAGGTCCCAGACTCATGTCCAGACTTTCGCGACAAAATTTTGGCATGTCCAGACTTTCCAGACCAAAATTAGGCATGTCCAGACTTTGGCGACCAAAACATGGCATTTCCAGACTTTTGCGACCATGATGATCCGTCGCGACTATCGCGACCGAAGCGGAGGTGGCGCGACCAAAACATCGCGACTCATATTTGGTATGTCCAGACTCTCGCGACCGAAAAACTAAGGCGCGACTTTCGCGACCGAGGCGGATATGGCGCGACCCTGCGGCTCAGGAAATGGCGTGACCGACGCGACCAAACCTAGCTATTTCCAGACTTTCCAGAACAAGATGGAGACGGCGCGAATTTCCAGACCAACATGGAGACGGCGCGACTTTGAAAAAGTTATTCAGAGCTTTCTCGACCGAGGTGGAGACGGCGCGACTTTCGCGAACATGGTAGATACGGCGCGACTCCAAAGGCAACGGCACGACCGGCTTGGCCAGCGCGACCAAAATGTGCACTTTCAAGACTTTCGCGACCGAGGTGGAGACGGCGCGTCTTTGCAGACCGAAGCGGAGACGGCGCGACTTTTCAGACCAAGGCGGAGACGGCGCGACTTTCCAGACCGAGGTGGAGACGGCGCGACCAATATTATATTCCTCGCGACAGAGGTGGATACGGTGCGACTTTCCAAACCAAGGTGGAGACGGCGCAACTTTTCAGACCAAGGCGGAGAGGGCGCTACTTTCCAGACCATCGCAGAGACGGCGCGACCAAAAAATCATTTCTCGCTACAAAGGCGGAGGCGGCGCGACTTTCCAGACCAAGGAGGAGACGGCGCGATTTTTCAGACCAATGTGGAGACGGCGCGACTTTTCAGACCAATGCGGAGACGGCGCGACTTTTCAGACCAAGGCGGAGACGGCGCGAGTTTTCAGACCGAGGCGGAGACCGCGCGAGTTTTCAGACCAAGGCGGAGAGGGCGCTACTTTCCAGACCATCGTAGAGACGGCGCGACCAAGAAATCATTCCTCGCTACAAAGGCGGAGGCGGCGCGACTTTCCAATGTACTAATGTCCTTCAATTTTTTTATTTTGCTAATCCAAGAATTTTTTGACCTCATCTGTAATTCAAAAGGTTAAATCGAATGAGAGGCATTATTCTAAAATTATTTTTTTTTCATTCATAAAGATGTTTAGCAAGAGATTTAAGAAACCTTTTTATAGAGTTCATATCAAAAACACAATAGAAACAACAAGAGTCTAAAACAGTGCAATTTCTGAGCCAAAAATTGGCCCTCATTTTCATCTTTTTTGGATAATTTGGAAAGATTTCGAAATTTTGCTGCTTTTTTGGATTCTGACGCATTGATTACCCAGAAAGTCATTGCTTCCACCATAAAATGGGAAGGAATTTTTCATTCGGGTTCATTTTTTAGTCTTTTTTTCTTTTTCACGTTGAATCATGATCCTCAGACAAGCCTTAGATGAGCTTGGAGAATATACTATGAAAAAAAGCTTTAGTTGGGATCAATCAAAATTTCAGAAATTTAAATAAACTTTCTTGGCGTTGAAAAAAAATAGGTAAGTTTTTTCGATTTTCTTAGCAAGTAGATAAAGTACAATGTATAAATTTGTCAATTGTTTGATGAAGTTATTCAAAAGACCTTAATCAATCAAATCTTGAACATATTGTTTCGATGTGTTACTTGGCATATTCTGCATTATTTGTTATCTTGGTAAATATCAAACAACTTGATCTAAATGGAAGAATACTTCGAAAACTAACCTTCGATAGCGGCGTTTCCAGACTCTTCTGGCGGTGATGGTCCCCCCGTGGAATTGGCTTTAATTTCACTCGGGGGGTTAGCGGGTGGCTGGGCCTGGGGACTGTTATTACCGCTTTCGGATGCGGACGCCATCAGAAACGCACTCGTCTAGCGCTGCTCAACTAAATTTCGATCAGCTGTTGTTTATACTAGAGCTGAAAAAAACAATTGGTTGATTCAAGACAACTTAATTGATTATTGATTCGAATACCACGTTATTCCAACATTTACACGATTATTTTTTGTTATTGTTCTAACTACGTCACTGAAAGTGACTGTAAGGAGCTAAAGCGTACGGTGGGTTTCAGAATGATTTTAGACTCCTTGTGAAAAGTTTCTATGTGATCAATAAAACTCAAAAATTGTCTCAATGTCGAGAAAAACTGGTCTGAATAATTAGCTCTTTCGACTCACAATTAATGAAAAAGAAAATATTCTTCATTTCAATGATGAACAATTTTTCCTTTAGAAACATGTGAACGGTTGGTAGTTGTTTTTAGGGACTCTATGATCTGTGAATATATAATCGCAAAGCTTTTTTTGAAAAACTTGAATGAAAATTTGTTTATATTGTCTTGGCTACCGAATTATTAATTTCAGCAACTACGTACTTTTGTGATACAAATTCAAGGTTCTCTGTTCTGAAGTATAAAACTAGTCCATAATAATTTATCGCCGCTTTTCATCTATTGAATTTGACTAAAGATACCAGCAGAGAATAGAAGTTTGAGCCAAATTTTGGACATAATTTAGCTGAAATAGGTTAACTAGTTTACTCTTTCCTGAATTACTTGAAATTTTGATCAGTATAAAAAACAGTTCAGTTAAAAAAAACTGAAACCAATCCCGCACTTAAGTTTTACGAATCATCCGTGAAATTTAAGTGCGGGATTGGACTTCAAATGGAATATATCTATTAGAATGGATTTTGTTGCATTGTGTTCCAACGGAAATAATTAATTATAATCATGACAACAGGTCTAAAAATGCAGCAATTAATGACAAAATTTTAGACAATATAATCCCATTGTACTCAATTTTTATGTTACACATCGAGTACAACGGGATTATATTGTTCAAAACTTTAATCTGTATATAATCTGTACCAAAATATGCACCTAAAATGGATTTTGGGTGACTATATTTTTTGATTAAGAAAGGTATAAATTGCAGTCGATTATAATCGATTTGATAGAAAAAAAAATCCATTATTTAGTGGATAAAAACTAATTTGCCTTTACTGTAGATTTTGCTAGCGATGATCGATTGCAATCTTAGTTTTGCCAATGCGGGAAGCTTAGGGTGCAACAAGGCTGTCAGATGGGTCAGGGTGCAATCTCCGCTACGAACAGTTTCTGCCGCAACTTTTTGGCTGTACTGTGTTGCTGCATCGCCACGAAAAAAAAATTCAAAAAGGATGGATTTTGCTTGTAAACGTTTTTAAAAGAGAGGCGTTCGAGAAAACAAGTCCTCTGATATGTTTTTCATGTCTTCTCACGTACGCCTTTTATTAATTTTTCGTGTTTTTGATTGGCTCTATAATTTCTTTTTTATTTATACCCAAAGTCTTTAGTTTCATTTGAGTGAAATTTTTGAAAAATTAAAATGCTTACAATTAATCAATAATATCAATGAATATTTCATTGAATTCTGTTGAAAGAAAGCAAAATTATCAGTGAGTTTAATCAAAACAAGTTTTAAATAATTATGCTATGTTCTGACTGTATTTTTTCCACTAAATAAAAGAAACAAGCAGAATTTTTATCAGTTTCGAATGGTTTTTGGAGCATAATTACAAAAAACTAGTTTACAAGAAAATACGTTGAACGTATCATTTTGGTTAAGCAAAGCAGCGTTTAGCGATGAAATTGAATCAAAATGAAGATAGCTGGTTACTCCTGAATTGTCTCAATGTGATAACTTTCCTCGACACTGATTTTTTGATAGAAATTTCTAACTATAATTTAAACCATGATCAAAGGGTCGTTAAGTTATATGCCATTTAGACACTCGTGTTTGTGGGAAAAAATGACAGGCTAAAACTCACTTAAGTAAAAACACTTTTTGTCATGTGGTCGGAACAAACAATGCAAACCACTGACAAATCAAATTTTTCATTAAAAAAATTAAAATTAGATCATGATTTTTATCTTAAGTAAAATCCTAAGCAACATTGCATGAAAGAAATTCAAGGATGCCAATTTGGTAAACCTTTCAATTTCTTCTGACGTTCATTAGTGCAATTTTTTCGTGGATAAAAAAAAGTACTTTCCTCGTTTGCATGGTTGAAACTCAATTGCTGAACTTCAGTCCATTACGAGGCCAAACTGTGAATTGGATAGGCGCACAATTTGCTGCGTATTTGTAGGTCTCTGGAAGCCAGAGACAAGTCTTAAACATGTTCAAATTTTGTCGGAACGATAAAAAAAATGAAAGAATAAAAAATAAGAACAAAAAGTGCTTTCTTGTTGCGGAAACTGTTTGTAATTCACAAAACACTCAGTTTGCTCTCGTAATGAAGATTCTGTATGAATTTTTATTCGGAGTAATGAGGACTAGTCAATAAAAAAGTGTCCTTTTGAGATTTTTAGATGCATAATAAAGGACTCACAGAAATTAGAGTATCATTTAAAAAAATTGCTGTGTTCATTTCATACCTAACTTGTCTAGAACAATTTTTATCAATAATAACTAAGTCTTGGGTGTTTTAGAAAAAACGATGCTGTACTGATATTTTGTGAGCTGCTTTTTAAATCCAATTTTTATGCACAAGAAGCAGAAATCGTATTTTTTGACTAATTTTAGCTTGTTTCTGGCGCCAATTTCGGCGGAAAAAATACGCTCTCGGCTTTTTTTTCTGCCGCATAAAATCAAAATTTTAAGGTTAACAAAATTTGTAATTAATTTTTAATTCAATTAATTTGTAAGTTAATTAAAACTTTCCTCTTTTCCGCTAGATTAAATCAAAACTAAAAACCAGTTTACCTAATTTATCAGTTTACCAATTTATTAAAGAATGAGAATGAAAACTGAGATTCAGTTGCTAGCTTGACCTTCGAAAGAAAACTTTTGAACTGAAATTTTTGCTTGATTTTTGCACTGAATTTAGCCTTTTGGATTTAAAACGTGTACTCTTACAGGATTATTTTTTTGGTTTATACTTGTTAATTGACTATCATGGATGCTGAGAACGCATCAACGTCCAGTCAACAGAAGATGATGGAGGAAATAGAGGCCCTCAAATAGAAAAACGCTGATCAAAGACGAGATATCGAGTATTTAAAGAAAAAACAATACAATCTGAGTGTGGCTCAAGATGTGCAATCTGCCCCTTGAAGTTACAATTGATAGTGTTAGAGCACTAGAAAGGTACTCAAGTTCAAATGGCCTTATCAATGTGAGCCTTCCCCCTTTTGCTGCACAAGCTAGTGCAGACTTGGTGAATGACGTGGTCATTTTTTCAGGAACTATTTGAAAAAAAAATGTGAGCTCAGACGGGAATAAAGCCTGTCGTGAGTTACTTGGGGACTTTGGTGGTTCTTATCCCAGAAATATAGTGAAGTTTTTTTATTTTAAAGAAAAAGAATTTTTTTATGCAGCGAGGAGATTTTGAAACAATTCAAAAATTCGAAAAATCTTCAACTTCTGTTTCGAATGAACGATTGCCAAACGATGAGGCTGCTTTTACAAAAACTGCATCAAAGCAAGGTTTTCCTACAAGCACAAGAAACTGCGTGGTCTCTGTAAGGGTTCAAAAGGTATGGACCGGAACAGTATTGGTTTCGTAAATATAAACAAGGTGGAAAAATTGTGCAACATTTGAAATACGGTTTAAGAAATCAGGTGACGATACTCGGAATGAGGGTAACATAGACACCTCAAAAACTTCCCCAGAAGGACAATATTGAAACCAGGAGAACATGTAAAGACTTTTGTAAAGCAGATATGAGCTTTATAATTTCCTCAGTTGAATTTTGAAAAAAAAATGAGTCAATTTTGTTTATTTGTGACTAAATATGTTTTTGTTTGTTAGTCATCAGAAAGCAGAACCTAGGAGGAGTCGCAATTACGCGACTGGCTCGCAATTACGCAGCCTCACCTCGAGAAATTCCTTTTGCGATTTTCATTTTTAGTTGTTGTTTGAACAAATTGACTCGCGATGATTGTAGTTCAATTGGTTCACTCTGGCAAATTCAGGTTGTTTTTTTTATTTTTGTTTTTGTTTTCTGCATTAAACCGCGGCTCAAAGCTAACAAAAAAACTATATGGGCAAAAATAGGTTATATTTTACTATTTAAAATACAAAAACGTTTCCGGGCTGTTTTTGCTAACCAAGAATTAGGACTGCGACTTCTTAATTTTTTTTGTTTCTTTTATAATCACACATTTTTTGTCTGCTTCAGAATATCAGATCCCTTAGCAGAAATTTTAGTGAGCTACAAATTTTAGTCGAAAGTCAATCAAATTATCCACATGTTGTTTGCCTAACAGAGACATAGCTTAAGAAGAACTCAAACTCACAAGTTCCCAATTTAAAGGGCTATCACTCATCTGAACATAGCTGTCGTAAAAAAGGGGATTGGAGTTGGCGTTTATGTAAGTGCAGATAAAACGTTTCCGATTGTCAAAAAATCTCAGTGTACTGAGCTGTAAATTGTCACAATCAAATTGCCCTCGATAGCGTCGAATACTTTAGTAATCTGTTTTTACATAGTCACATGTGAGAACATAGACAAAACTATCGAAAAAGATTCATAATATCTACTGAAAGACATTAACGTTCCTGAAATGAAAGACCACACTCTGTGCAGGATTTAAATATCGGCCACTTGAGATCTAACTCCCGCAGAACAAAAATTCAAAAGATATTTCGCAGTTTCAATCTTCAGTTTGTCCAATTATCTACTGCTTCGCGTGAACAAAACACTTCTTAATCACTGATTGATGTTTTTACAGCAATTATAACAAAAACTGTGCGGTTGAAATAACAAAAAAAACAATAATAGATCACTTTACTGTTAAATTGGAAACAAAAATTGCAATTGATGCTGTGGAAGGATATCAAATTCCATGTAGAGCTTGGTAAATTTTACGCATATATTTTTCAAGTGAGAGGCTGATTTTTCGTTTTCAACATGCAATGTAGAAATCAAGC